CCCCACTGCCCCTGAGCTGCCCCTGTGAAGGAGGGGGGGGTGCACGGGGGGGGGTTATTAAGGCGGCCCCCAGGGCCCCCTCTGTCTGGCTGGACCAGCAGTGAGCTGAGTCATCATTAGCATCGGTGTGGGGAGGATCAGTAATGAGGTACAGAAATACGCAGTCGTCCTTAGGTTTTGCGTCGTACACAGCCTATGCCTCTCTATGTGAGTCTACGACACTCTGTGCGAGTCCGTGGATCTCTGTGTGAGTCTATGGCTCTCTGTGAGTCTATGGGTCTCTGTGTGAGTCTAGGGATGTCTGTGTGAGTCTATGGCTCTCTGTGTGAGTCTATGGGTATCTGTGTGAGTCTATGGATCTCTGTGTGAGTCTATGGGTCTCTGTGAGTCTAGGGATGTCTGTATGAGTCTATGGATCTCTGTGTGAGTCTATGGATCTCAGTGTGAGTCTATGGATGTATGTGTGAGTCTATGGATGTCTGTGTGAGTCTATGGATCTCTGTGTGAGTCTATGGCTCTCTGTGTGATTCTATGGATCTCTGTGTGAGTCTATGGATCTCTGTGTGATTCTATGGATCTGTGTGAGTATATGGATCTCTTGTGCGAAACCACAGGGCCGTCAATAGAGATGATCACTATGGCTCCTTCCTCACTTGAGCGAGTTGATCACTCTGAGACCACTCTGGTATCACTCTGAGATTACTCTGAGATTACTCTGAGATTACTCTGAGATCACTGTGGCTTTCGGCTTAGTCGCAGAGGCTACGCACGCAGTGTGGCTATCGGGTGTGCAGGCTGTGCAACTGCGCCGGGTCCCACGGGTCGAAAGGTCCCACGAGCCGAAGGGCAAACTCCACCAGGTCCCGTGCCAACCACGCAAACCCACTGACCACTGAGTGTGTGTGCATACGGAACGAGTTATGATTGTGCGTGCGTATTGACTCGATTGTGTTAGATTTGTTAACATAGAGATGACGAGACGGGAGTGGGAGTGAAGGGAGGGAGCCAAGCTGGAGATGAGTGGCGCGTTGATCATCAAAGTTTGAGCAAATGAAAAATATATTAGTGGGAATGAAGGAGGGCACCGCTGAGGCTACGGCGAAGGAGTTAAGAGGAGTTGGGTGGCGCTCTTGGTGATTTGTTTTAGATGACGCTCACGATGAGCGGAGTGGTGATAAGGGCACGAGACGCGTGGGAGAAGACTCGGAAGCTAGGTGGTGGATGGTGCTGAGATATTCAAATATGGGCAGAGTGGGGTGGCTCTCACTATGTGTGGTGTCTCTCACTATATGGGCAGAGTGGGGTGGCTCTCACTATATGGGCAGGGTGGGGTGGCTCTCACTATATGGGCAGAGTGAAGTGTTTCTCACTATATGGGCAGGGTGTGGTGGCTCTCACTATATGGGCAGAGTGGGGTGGTGCCTCTCACTATATGGGCAGATTGGGGTGGTGGCTCTCACTATATGGGCAGAGTGGGGTGGCTCTCACTATGGGTGGTGGCTCTCACTATATGGGCAGGGTGTGGTGGCTCTCACTATATGGGCAGAGTGGGGTGGTGGCTCTCACTATATGGGCAGAGTGGGGTGGTGGCTCTCAGTATATGGGCAGGGTGTGATAGTGTCTCTCACTATATGGGCAGAGTGGGGTGGTGGCTCTCACTATATGGGCAGGGTGGGGTGGCTCTTACTATATGGGCAGGGTGGGGTGGTGGCTCTCACTATATGGGCAGGGTGTGATGGAAACACGGCGTTGGTTTCCGTACAGGAATCCGATGTTTGGCGAGTATCCTCTCAGCGACGTGATTCAACGTGGGCCCTTCAAAGACAACCTCCACGCGAGTTCACGAGTGGCGCGATGGCAACAGTGGAAGAAGCGAGCGAGCTGGTGGGGGGGGGTGGAGAATGGGGGGCACAGTGAGAAGGGGGGGGGCGGAATCGGGATAGGGGACCCCATTCACATCTAACCCCACCCCTCTCCTCCCCGACACCGCCACAGCGAGGAGGTGTTTATCTGCAGGCGGGAGGCAATAAAAGGTCAGAGTTGATTGCAGAGGATGCGGAATTCATCCCCTGGGAGCTAATTAGGGTCGCCTGCCAGGGCAGCCGAGCAGCGGGCTTTGAGCGAGCCCCGTCAGCCACACAATCGGCGAGGCGGGTTTGGGGGTAGGGACGGGTTGGCGGTCGCCTCGGATGAATGGCCTTGGGACGACATGAGCCACAGGCAGGGAGTGTAGGTCCGCCTTGCCCGCTGTATCGAGTGTGCAGGTGGTGCACTACACCGGTGGTGGATCCAAACCGGGAAAGGTGGCGGGGGGCGAGGCGATGGGTGTGAACATTGGTGGTGGTGGGTTTATATTTACCGGTGAAGAAAAAATCATGCATAAGCACGGATTGCGCAGAAGCGCTTCGCATCGTTGCTCTTATGCTTCGAGGCATCCGATCAGCGATGATAACGGTAGCGGCGGTAGCGCTCAGGCGAGGTGTGCGTCCGTAGGTCGCGATGAGGCAGACATCAAAACGAGTTTGTAGTGACGATCTACGTGACTTTACCGAAAGACCCAAAGAGTATGAATTCCTGCAGTCACGAAAGCTTCAAGTCAAGATTTTGTTTTGTTTTTATTATCTTCAGAGCTGGAATGAGCTCAGTAATTTAAAATAAATACAATTTTTAAATTACGTTTTTTTATATATATTACCGCGTGTGAGACCATCGATTCGCTCCTACACTTGGTACCGTGGCTCAATCGCAGGCGGCTGGAACCTTGGAGTCGAACCCAGATCCTGGACGGTGCCAATTCAGTGTCCACTGACACGGCCATTGGGAACCCACCGAGCCGCGTGACCACCTCTTGACAGTTCCCTGCCCATCACCGTGGGCTCCAGTAGCACAGTCTGAAGTTCGTGAGCTCGTCACAAGGCAGTGGATCGGGAACGATCTTTATCGGGTCAGCCCAGCGTTGGGGAACTCCGCGGTCGTATGGCAAGAAAGCAAAGCCTCTCTTGATTTGATTTCGAGACTTTACGATCTTGATTCTATGGGGCGCAACGGTTTGAGAGGCATCGCACTCGGACGCTCGTTGGGTTTTCTCTGGGCAATTTGCGCTCCCGTACGTGGGGCCAAAATCACTCGCGAATAGAATCGAGCGATCACTCCCACTGGCAGCCCCACGCCTACAACACCTGGCAAGCCCTGGTGATGGTGGTGGCGGCTGTCACCCATCCGAGTAGGCTAGAACCCCGCTTCGCCTCCGCAATGCGAATTTGTGTCTTTTAACAACAACAACAAGCGGGCTCCTTGATTCCACTCAAGGGTTGATGGAGTGGAAATCCGCCCCGCCGGTGTGCGGGTGACTGCCCGTATCCAGGACCCACAGCACCCAACACCCCCCACGCCACCCATGCCACCCACGCCACGCACGCCACCCACGCCACGCACGCCACCCACGCCACCCACGCCACGCACGCCACCCACACCACCCACGCCACGCACGCCACCCACGCCACCCACGCCACCCACGCCACCCACGCCACCCACGCCACGCACGCCACCCACGCCACCCACACCACCCACGCCACCCACGCCACCCACGCCACGCACGCCACCCACGCCACCCACGCCACCCACGCCACCCACGCCACCCACGCCACGCACGCCACCCACGCCACCCACGCCACCCACGCCACCCACGCCACCCACGCCACGCACGCCACCCACGCCACCCACGCCACCCACGCCACCCACGCCACCCACGCCACGCACGCCACCCACGCCACCCACGCCACCCACACCACCCACGCCACCCACGCCACCCACGCCACCCACGCCACCCACACCACTCACACCACCCACGCCACCCACGCCACCCACGCCACCCACACCACCCACGCCACCCACGCCACCTACCCCCTCACCGCCTCCAGCCTCAATTAACAGCTGTACACGCCACGATGTTCGCTCTTGCTGCCGCTGTTTTACATTTGAATGGGTTGGCTCATTTGCATGTGAATAGCGGTGCTGGTGATGGAGGAGCGGACTAGGGTTCACGGAGGCCTGACAAGGGGCGCCTTGAAGAATCCATTTCTCCGCTGCGACTCTTTACAATCGCAGCCAAGGAACGGAGCGCGCGTCCCAGAGGAGGACGTGCCCCGCGGAGATGGAGCGATGAATTAAATCGGTCCGTGTACGGCAGGTGCCGGATGGATTCTTACATCGCAGGAAGGAAGGAAGGAAGGCTGCGTGAGATGGAGGCGGCTTGGGGAGGACTTCATCCAGCAGTGGATTGACCAATGGGTGATGACGATGGTGACAATGAGAGCCAACGGGCGGACTAGTCGCAGAGCGATACGCACAGACTGGACTATACATGTGACCTGACATATGAACCCGTCACCAAGCCGCATTGACCAGCGTGGTGAAGTATGGTCAAATGACTCCCATGACCGACACGGCGTGGGGAGGCCTCTAGTGCGGCAGCGGATTGGCAAAGGGTCTCGGGCAGCCACTCTGCCCTGAGTCTCGACCACCGGCCGTCACTGGAGCGGCCGTCTCGTGGCCGAGCGCATGCGTCTGAGCGGTGACGTCCCTAACCCGCGCGTTCCTCTCTGACCCACGTGGTCCCCTCCCTCTCCATCAGCGCCACCCCAAGCGCGCACCTCACCACGCTTTTGCTCTGCCAATGTCCGCGTGCCCGCGCGGCGAGCACCCTCGGGGCGACCCCGGCACCTCTCGTGACTCCGGCACCTCTCGTGACCCCGGCACCTCTCGTGACCCCGGCATCTCTCGTGACCCCGGCACCTCTCGTGACCCCGGCACCTCTCGTGACCCCCGGCCCAACTCGTGACCCCCGGCACCTCTCGTGACCCCCGGCACCTCGGGCGCGGTGGCGCTGCGCCCGGCGCACGCTCCCGGGTGGCGGGGTCGAGCGGCTCCACGCGGTGCGCGTCGCTTCTCCCGCTGAACCCAACCTCGATGCGCGCGCGGCTGTCTCTCCCCTCGCCCAGGTGCTCCGGCGGCGCTTGCATCGGGGGGACTCGCGTCCGGACGCCGACCCCCGCGGGGTCAACTCCGCAAGCCCGCGGCGGCGATGGGGCGCTGAGAGCGCGCGGGTGGCGGCAAGGGATGGACGACTCCGGCGGCGGGCGTCGCGCGTGGAACGCCACCGCCGCCCTCGCCAACGGCACGGGCGTCGCGGTGGAGGACTACGACATCTGCCGCACGTCGCCCTTCTCCACGTCCTTCCTCATCGTCGCCTACTGCACCGTCATGACGCTGGGCCTCAGCGGCAACGCGTGCCTCGTGTTCGTGGTGGCGCGCCAGCGCGACATGCGCAACATCACTAACGTGTTCATCGCCAACCTCTCGGTGTCCGACATCCTCGTGGTGCTGCTGTGCCTGCCGCTCACGCTCGTCTACACCCTCATGGACCACTGGGCCTTCGGCGAGCTGCTCTGCAAGCTGAGCCCCTTCGTGCAGTGCACGTCCGTCACCGTCTCCGTGCTCTCGCTGGTGCTCATCTCGCTCGAGCGCCACCAGCTCATCCTGCACCCCACGGGCTGGAAGCCGAGCCTGCACCACGCCTACGCGGCCATCGCCGTCGTGTGGGTGGCGGCGGCGCTCGCCTCGCTGCCCTTCGCCACGTTCCAGGTGCTCACCGACGAGCCGCTGGGCAACCTGAGCGGCGGCGGCGGCGGCGGAGACGCCGATCCCCTGGAGGGCAAGCACGTGTGCGTGGAGGTGTGGCCCTCCTCCTCGGCGCGGCTGCTCTACACCACGGCGCTGCTGGCGTTGCAGTACTGCGTGCCGCTCGCCTTCATCTTGGGCTGCTACGCGCGCATCTTCCTGCGTCTGCGGCGGCGCCGCGGCATGCTGGAGAGGCCCTCGCTGTGCCGGGAGGCGCGGGAGGCCTCCACGGGCCACTACGAGCACCGGCACGACCACCTGCAGCAGGAGAGCTACAGCCGGCGGGCGCGCCAGGCGCGCAGGATCAACGGCATGCTGGCCACCATCGTGGCGGCATTCGCTCTCTGCTGGCTGCCGCTCAACGTCTTCAACGCGCTCTACGACTGGCACCACCAGGCCGTCATGGGCTGCCACCACAACCTGGTGTTCTCGCTGTGCCACCTCACCGCCATGGCCTCCACGTGCGTGAACCCCGTGTGCTACGGCCTCCTCAACACCAACTTCCAGAAGGAGCTCAAGGCGATGGCGCAGCGCTGCTGGTGCGTGGCTGCCGCGGGCCTCGCGAGGGTCAGCGACGGCGGCGGCAGCGGCGGCAGCGGCGGGAGGTCAGAGGTGGCGCGCGAGGCCGGCGCGGGACGGGCGGACGAGGAAGCGTTCGAGCACTTCCCCCTGTCCACCATGACCACGGACATGTCCAAGGACTCCATCAAGCAGCACTGCAGGACCAACTCGATGTAGCGGCGGGCGAGCGGGCGAGGGGACCCGCGGGGCGATGCGTGGCGGGGGGAGCGTGAGAGGGTGAGGGTGGTGAGAGGGCGATGAGCCGTGCGTACTCGGCCTCCTTGGGGGGGGGGGGGGTGCTGCTCAGTCTGTCGCTGTGTGGCGGCGAGCGGTGATGGACAGCGTGGGCGATTTGGACAAAACCCGCGGTGGTTTTCAGGGATATCACCACGGTCGTCCGGAACGCCATGGGGGTGATCGAGAAGGGGAAAACCACACACGCACACACACAAAACATGCATCGCTGGATTGTGATTGGTGGAGGCGGCTTGTGGATGAGGCTTTCGTCCAGCAGTCGATTGAACATGGCTCACGACAGTGATCGGGAATAGAATGAGCGATGTGGAAAAAAATCCTGGGTTGGCTAAAATCACGCCACACAAACGTGCGAACAGTGAAGCGTGAACAGAGCTCCATGTGTATGGGCATTTATTGACACTACATATGACGGTCAATATGTGTACATAACATATATATATTAATAGCTGTGTGTATATATATACAGGGTGAGTGTTTCTCGCAGTGGTTAGTGGACCGCGCTCGAAACTCCGGTGACCTGATTTCAATTCCGAGCCACGGCTAACATCAGTGGTGGGTGACATCTGAACAGATACCGGGTCACCCACGGGTACCAAACCCGCACTGGGCGGTGACGTTTGGTGACGTTTGGTGAAGTATGGTCAAACATCCGCCATGGCCGGCGTGGCGTCCTTCACTCCGGGAGTGGATTGACTAAAGGGCTCTACACGATTACGATTGGGACTCAGTTGCTGCGCACAAGGCCTAAGGCAGTGGTTCTTCACCTGCGGGAAGGGGGGGGGGGCACATCTTCTGTGGGTGTGAGATGCCCTTTCTGGGGGGTGTGCGAGACATGGGCAGATTTTATTTTTTTTAGAAGAGAAATCATCGAAAACACAAATTAAGGATGGGAACGTAAATTAAAACTACTGTCATATTCTTGGTTCTTTCGGTAAAGTCAAGTAGAAGGGAAATAATAAAATAATATAAATATAAAACAATAAAAATTCTCACGACGTTTCGACTGCAACACAAGCAATCATCAGGTGATGATTGCTTGTGTTGCAGTCGAAACGTCGTGAGAATTTTTATTGTTTTATATTATTTTATTATTTTCCTTCTACGTGACTTTACCGAAAGAACCAAGAATATGAATCCCTGCAGTCACGAAAGCTTTAAATCAAAATTTCAAACTAATTTGTTTCATCAAATCTATGTATTTATTAACATTACACATGTATGAGTTTTATTATTATTGAGAACCAGCGGGGTGCAAGGCTGCAGTAAAGGTGAAGAACCACTGGCCTACAGGGGATAAAAGGGCAAGCGGCCAGCAACAAACAACAGCCTCAAAAGTTCTAGCAGATAAACGTTCACGTGACTTTCGAAGTGAGAAATGTGGTTATTGTAAGGGGGGGGACGATGATAGGAGGAGGGAATTCCAGAGCGGAGCGGTAGTGAGGTGACCTGCAGTGTGGTGAGTGGGTGGGTGAGTGAGTGGGTGAATTGGGGAGTGGGTAGGTGAGTGGGTGGGTGAGTGATTGGGTGAGTAGGTGGGTAAATGGGTGAGTGGGTCGGTGAGTGGGTGGGTAAGTGAATCAGTGAGTGAGTGAGTGGTGATTGAGCGAGCGAGTGGGTGGATGGGTGAGAGGGTGGGTGAGTGGGTGGGTAAGTCAATCAGTCAGTGAGTGAGTGGTGATTGAGCGAGTGGGTGAAAGGGTGAGTGAGTAGGTGAGCAATGAGCGACAAACTTGCTTCGTGAGTTTGGATAGTGAGTGAGTGAATGCGTTGGCTAGTGAGTGACTTTAGTGAGTGATGAGTGGGACGACGGTGTGGTTGTGCAGTAGTGCTGCTGGTTGAACGGACGAGACGATAGTGTGGGGACCGCGTCCTCCACACGGGCGCGCGATATTGCTCACGCGGACACGAGAGGGAGATGGGGTGCGGGGAGATCGCAGAGGGCTTGTCGGCGTTTTGACAACGCGCCCGTCGTGTGTTTTTTTGTGTTCTTACTCTTGGACTACGGGGCTAAGCGCGGCGCTCGAGGTTTACGCGGCGTGCTCACGGAGTCGCTGCCGGCTCCGTGAGCCTCGAGCCACGGCCGCGTTCAGAGCGCGCCACGGGATCGACCTCCCGCGGGCGTTAGAGCGGCGGTCACTTAAGGGCTAAGTTCCAGGCTTAACCTAAGGGATGAGGTTAGCGTTGGCATGTAAATGAAGGTTTCATGTTTAGGGTTAACTTAATGACGAATTGGGACAACGGGGTTGAGGATCGGGGTAACTTGGGGAGGGGGGGGGGTAGAGGGGGTTAGGACGAGGGTTAACTTAAGGGCTTGAGTTAACTGCAGGGTAAATGTTCGGTGTTGGGGTTAACTGCTGCGGATGACGTCACGGTCAGGGTTAACTGTTCACGCCGATGCGGGGCATCTCGCGTTGTGTGCGCGCGCGCGCGTTTGTCACGTGGCTCCCCCGCGTTGCTGTGCGTGGTCCGGGTTTCAACAAAGACGCCCACCCACACACGCGCGTGTGTGTGTGGGTGTGAGCACAGAGAGACACGGGGAGCGGTGGTGTAGTGATTAGCGCTCCGCTGCTCTACGAACCCAGCGACCCGAGTTCGATTCCCGCTCACGGACAACACCAGTGACGATTATCTGAACTGGTCCTGGGCCTCCCCTAGGTCGACTCAGCCCAAAAAATGAATACCTGGCGCGGTGAGTAGTAAACATCACTACTTGGGAGACAAAAGCGGCCGGGCGTGGTGCTGACCACCCACCCCCTCGTGTGCTGTGCCGGTCTTTATAGGTGCTCGCTAACAGCACTTTCCCCCACAGTCTGTTATAGGCTATACGGGGGACCTTTGTCTTTGTGCATAGAGACACGCAGGGGTCGCCTGAGGTCGTCGAATCGCGTGCGGAGCTGCGAGCTGAGCTCAGTCCTCAAGTGGGGGGCCCGGGGTGTGGGGATGGGGGGCTGACAAGAAGCGTGGGAGCGGCACGGCAACTACCCCTCCCCCACAACCACCCACAACATTTAAATAGGAAAGAGGGGGGACAATATGCTCTGCCCCCCTCGATTCATATCTTGCATGAACCCCCTTGGTACCTGGGTCCTCTTGGCCACTCCACGTGGGTCCCCTTGGCCACTCCACGCGGACCATGATCGCGATTCGAGCTGTCAGGCATCGTCCTACCTTTGAGATCATGAAACAAATCCCGTGGCTGCCCCATGGATAAACTGGCCCTCCGCCATGGGAATGTGGAATTTCCACTCCCGCCTTTAGGGCCACCAATGGGCATCAAGTTCCGGGTCATAGCTCGATTGAGCAGAGAGACGCTGTTGTTTTGATGGTAAAGCCCACCATGTCACCGCTATTGGACAAACATCCCAGACGCTGAAACATTGCCATGCAAACGACCCACTTGGGATTACACAGCAGCAGCAGCAACATCGCCCCCTACTGGCAGCAGACGGCTGCCCAACAATTGTGTCAACTCTTGCGAAGGAAGCTCATCTTGAGATGTCACCGGGTGGGACAAAATCAACCCGAAACCATCAACACACAACAGCAACCGCCATTCGCACACTAAGTGGCGGTAACGTCACCACGACGCTTGTGCCAGGCTAGGTGCACTTTAAGGCCACGTGAAGTGCCGAACGCCCGCCGGCAGGAGGTCACGGGACAGACCCAGCAGGTGCCATGGATCGACTGACTGAGATGACTGCCCGATGCACCAACCCGTGCCCCTTACTGCGCCAACCTGCTGTGTTTTAGCCGCCCGGCGCTCCGCTCGTTGTTGTGAGCGTCGCTCCTTATCGCACACACGCGGACACAGAGAGCGCCTAGAATCCGTGAGTAGAACCACAGAACCGTCCACGGCGTGCAAACCGTGCACACAACCCGCTTCGTGATTCGTGTACCGGTGGCATCGGACATCTGCCACAAGCCGTGTCCCACAAGCGCTCGATCGTGCCCGCGTCGAGACGACACGTGGAGCTGCCCGCCAGTAATGGTCACCTGCCACTGCACTCTGGCTCACTCGGCACGTGGCGCTTCCAGGGAGCTGTGGATGGGAGCTGTGGAGGGGGCTGGGGGCTGCTGATCAGCTGTGACAGTCACGAGTCGTGCAAAGTGGCCCCCCGAAGATTAGCGACAACATCGCCCGCGGCCACTCTCGCGCTAATTCGACGCTTCGCGTGGAAATTGGGCCGCAAGGCGTGGCCGGAGGGAAGGAGACGGGGAGGGGTGGGGAGGGAGGGAGGGAGGGAGGGGGAGGGGTGGGGAGGGAGGATGAGGGGGGTGAGGGAGGGATGGGGAGAGGTGAGGGAGGGGGGTGAGGGAGGGAGGTGAGGGAGGGAGGATGAGGGGGGAAGGGGGGAGGTGAGGGAGGGAGGATGAGGGGGGAAGGGGGGAGGCGGGGAGGGGGGTGAGGGAGGGATGGGGAGGGAGGTGAGGGAGGGAGGTGAGGGAAGGGGGGAGGGAGTGGGTGAGGGAGGGGGAGAGGGAATGGGTGAGGGAGGGAAGTGAGGGAGGGGGGAGGAAGGGAGGGAGGGGTGAGGGAGGTGAGGGGGGAGGGAGGGAGGCGACGGCGCCCAACCTGTGAGGCTGCTGCTGCTGCTGCGGTGAGAGGAAGACGCTGGGTAAATGGCGCCTCGCTGACGGGCTCGAGATGATCGTGCAGGCGACTCCTGCCGCTCGGAGCCGCATTCGAGAGCAGTGCCGGATGAAGCTCGTGCGGGGCCTGCAGCACATGTTATGAAGGGGCCCTAAATACAATTTTAAAAAAACACGTAAATATGAAAACACAAATTTTTCACTTACATAGTGAAGTAATTTTATTTTTTCATTTGCTATACAGCTAGATAATACGACAAATCGCTAACCGTAAACACCCAGTCGTTCGTAAAAGTTGAAGGCGGTATAGTACTATAGTAATAGAGCAAGTGCAGAATCATTGAACCGGAATTGATAGCTTGAAAGCATT